TTGATAGCATCAAACAACTGGAAAAATGATAATTCTCAGAGTATTTTTATTGAATAACTAAATTTTGTATAAAAAGGTGATATTTAAATTAACCTTTCGGAATAGAATTGAATTAAGAAATTCTAATACTAATAAGGATAGAAAAAACAAAATACTAAAAAGCATAAAATCCAGAAATTTCTAAATTATAATAATAGGCTCCTAAACTAAATAATATAGTAGTTTTATATTTAACTTCAAATCTATTTGGATAATCTAAACTTAATGAACTCTGCATCAAGCATGTTGCATATAGATTATGTACATTCTATGTATTTTATTTCTCATAAGGAATATTTGATTGTTCTCTGACTTGACTGTGTATTATATGCAGACGCTAAATACTGGATCCCTGTTTTATGCCACTTTAAATTCCTTGGCATACTTTTACATGGTGGGTTTCATGTTAATTTCTTTTTGAAAAAAGGAAAAAATCTTTGTTGTTTCTATGTTGATGATTTATTATTTGTCTCAGGTTTGTTCTTGGGGAGGGTACACCTTTATTATCAATCTGATTCCAATGCATGTGCTTTTGTGTATTGTGACTGGTCGCTATTCAAGTCGCCTCTACATTGCTTATGCGCCTCTTGTAAGTACCTGTGCTACTTATGAAATTCTGGCTATATCTAAAAGACAGAACATATGATTAAGTAGGATTTACAAATGTAGGCTATTTGCTTTCAGTACCTAGAAAATAATAGGAATCAAGGAGGCTAGCTCTTTTTTAACAAGGGTCCTGGTTTTTTGTGAAGAAAAAAATTATAAGTGGTCTTGCTGTTAGTAAAATTTACTTAAATTTATATGGATTCATTAGTCATAGGTGAACCTTATGATATGGAAGAGAAAGAAGAAATCATAAAAAGATATGCTTTATGTCAACATATACATATGTCTGCCTACAAAGCATGGAAAGTAATTGATCACATTCGTGAACGTTCCTATGAGGAAGCACTTACAATACTAGAACCTGGCGCTGAAAGAAGAAATTGGTTTGCTTAAATTGAAGTGATTAGGTGGAAGTAGGGCCCCCTATTGAAACGCTTTCCCTCCCCCAAAGGGCAACCAACTTTCAATACTAATTGTTATTTAATGCTGCCATTTTTCCAATACCATTGAATAGCATGGCTTGGGGTTAAAGTCACTCAAGTGGGAGAAGGGGTTTGGGGTAATAATGATTTAGGTCATTTGGTGTTAATGGTGTGAAGAGAGCAAATAGATTTCTCCTTGAAGTCCTTTTGCTAAGAGCTAATGTAGAACTTCTATAGACAAGAATAGAACTGCATTTGCTGGAGTTTTTCACTTTACAGTATTGGAAGGTACAAAGTCATCACTTCCAAAGAGGTCTTTCCACCTGTTTATGTGGATTATTGCATAAGCATGAAGTCTTTTTTTTTTTAATTTTTTTAATTACTACATTTTAGCAATATGTGATGGATGTCAACTGAAACGATTTTTCTGAATCAATGGGTTATCGGTCT